CAGTTTTACATATTCAACATAACGGCCAAGAGGGGAAGGACTGTGGTTCATAGATCCACCACATTAATGTAGAGGTAGTCCTCACTTAATGACCATTTGTTTAGTGACCATTTGAAGTTACAACGGTGCTGAACAAAGGGACTTAACAACTAGTCCTCGCACTTACAATTGTTGCAGCATCCCCGTGGTCACATGATTGCGATCTGGGTGCTTGGCAACCAGCTTGCACTTACGACGGTTGCAGTGTCCCTGATGTGGTCGCCATTTGCGACCTTCCCAGTCAGCTTTCAGCAAGCAAAATCAATGGAGAACCACGTGATTTGCTTAACGGCCGTGGTGATTCGCTTAATGACCTCTGCAAAAAAGGTTGTAAAATCAGGCGTGACTCGCTTAACAACCGCTTAACAACAAATTTTCTGGTCCCTATTGTGGTTGTTAAGCGAGGACTACCTGAATAGTTTGTTTCAAGAGACTGAGTTCCCAAGGCCAAATCTTTCTTCAACCTTCACTATTGTTCATTTTTCTTGTTCATTTATTCAATTTATGGCCACAGACCAAAACACAGAAAGAAAAAGAAAAGAAAAACCACGTTTTTGTTTTTTTAAAAAAGCCAACTAAAAGGAAAGGGGGAAAAAAGCAGCTAGGATTTTTATCCGTGGGCATCTGGATGACCTCTTGCTGGATCAGACTCTGGTTTCTGGTTTTAAAGGCAGCAAAGCAGGTTGGCTACTGCCAAAGATGTACTGTAGGGTTGTACTGATCAGCCAACTGTTTTGCTGTCTTTAATATCAGAAGCTGAAGTCTGATCCAGCAAGAGGAATATTCTGCCCTTGGATAAAAATCCTAGCTGCCTCCTGTGTTTTCTTTTCTTTTAGTCAGCTGTCAAACAAAGAAACAAACAAAGAAACAAACAAAAACAAACAAAAAATAAAAAACATGTTTTTCCCTTCCCTTCCCTTCCCTTCCCTTCCCTTCCCTTCCCTTCCCTCCCCTTCTTTTGGTCAATGACTGTAAACTGAATAAATGGAAACGACATGTTCCATATTCTTCATTTGGCCATAATAATACTGACTTCTCTTATAGGATTATTGCAAAGATATGAATTTGGTGCAGCTATGGGGAGATTTTTACAGCTCCTCAGTAAACCACAGAAACGGCTCGGGTGATTATCGTGGGTGACTTGCCCGTCCAAGACTGATGAAAAAAGGTCTCCTTTTGCTGTTAGGCACAGAAGAAACAGGGCAGCATTCTTCTTCGCCTTTATTAATTTTGAGAAAATACCAGCTGCAGCCATTACATCTTTGTGCCCTATTGCACAACAGCTGGCTCAAGGGGAGATCTTTTAGGTGTTTATGCTCCATCTGTTATTTTTTGCCTCTTGTTTCTGTGGTTTCCCGGACACAGAGGCCCAAATGTGTGGATGGAAAGTGTGTGTGTGTCAGAGAAAGCACACAGAGGGACCAATTTAACCCCCCTCCTCTGTCGGGCTCCAAAAGCTCTTGAAGATCACTGCAGATGGTGCTTTAGCAATTTTAAAGACAAGTCCATACAGGGGGCTTGTTTGTTGATATATTTATGACCCTTAACATTGTGCCTCTCTCTGCATGGATTATCGGTGGTTGACAACAAGCTGACCAAGGTCCCCTTGCTTCTTTAAGGGCCACATTTTGCATCCAGTCCTGTTAGAACGCAAGCAGAGCCAATCCTTGCGCATTTAGATAGCCCATTCCGGGCCTTTCCAATCCCGCCTGCAACGTTTTGTCGTGAATGCTTATGAGAACCCCTTGAGGAAGGCCATGGCTGTTACCGTCCCATGGCTGCAAAGGGTGGTGGTGGGGGGGACGGCAAGCTTGGTAACTCGTGAATGTATTTCATTCCAGGTGGAAACGGAAAAAGAAGTTACGGCGGGCAGCTCGGAATCCCAAGAATGTTGAGCAACATACTTCAGCTCCGTTGCAAAGTGGTGAGCTGAGCCCTTCCTTCTCTGGGGCCAGGTACCCAGCGTTGGTCCAAAGGAAGATGCTTGGCCTGAGGTCTTCCTGGTGGCATTGGTCCCATAACAGTCTTTCCTGTCACCTGCTGTTTGATCCTTTGAAGTACAGAATTTAATCTGGGACTTCTGCATTAGGCACCCAAGTAGGATTCTCCACCCAGAGTATGAAACACATTTTCAGTCTTCAGCCTTTTCTCTAGTGTACCCTGAAACTCTCCTGCTAAATAATACCTTCTTTATCATTTAGGCCCTAGGCATGGTAGGAGAAGGAGTATTGTGCCTGAAAATGTTGGAACTACATCCAACGGTAAGCCATGAGTGTTGTGTGTTGCTTCATGTTTTATTATTATAGTTGGTCGCACAGTCAGCCAGATGTTTAGACTGGATTTGGCATTTTTATCCACCTGTCAAGTCCTTCCCAAGGACCTGAGGCAGATGTTGTTGTTTGATGGTGTTAAAGGTGTCAGCGCAAGATATAAGCTGTTCCAAGTCAAGCTACCTTTTGCAATGGACTGATGGTGATTATGTCAGTGCTGATGGTATTCAAGTGGTGCTCCAGATGTTTTGGGATTGCACCTAAGGTGCCTATAAA